GGTACCCAGAGGACCTACACCACCGTAAATGTAGTAGAAACCTGAATAGGTCCGGAAGGGAATTTTCATGACCTAGGAGACACTGTTTACAAGTCTTGTAGGATGGTAACGTGCGTTACAACATAATGTCTGTTGCGAATTACATGCCCGACAGATTTTTTCATTACATCATTATCGAGAGAATTATAATTTCGACATTGTTGCCCTTATCCGTTTGATGCTCATTTGGTCTGGTATGTACCATGCGGTAGCGCCATAGTAATTGCCTTCGGTGTCGATGTCACCTTAGTAATTCAACGTATTCATATAAACATAGGGGGAAACAGACAAGTAATAATATCTCTTGTATCTCCTTAACCGGACAAAATACGATAATGCCGTTTGGACAGTCGATTGCATAAATAGGGGCTATTTGCTATTTGAATACTATGTCTTCGCTGTATTGTTTTACAGCTTTCTCCCACTTAGCGTGTCCGGGTATGGAATAACTACATTTTCCAACATATAATTATACACTTTTTGTGTTGTAATGTTAGTATTTTGCTTAATTCTCGATCCAGTTTTCACTACCTTACGTAGTTTATCAGAGACGCCAATCATTGAATTGTTTTCGTTGTATTTCAACGCCATTTTCTATGTTCGCTCCGCAATCCACGTGTCCGCACTTTGTGCTGTTTTTTTCTATTGTCATTACAATTCCGTCATTATTTCTTGTTTACCACATCGCTCGACCTTCTCGCCGTTAATTTTTTGTCAGTGTCTTTAGTTTCCTGTCTGTCTTACCACGCGATGTTATCCGATTTCCCACTCTTGATACCAACCTTGCAGACGCCACCATTCTGCTTCTATAACCTCCCAGCAAGGTACTCGCCAACGGACTTCTCCCAGCCCACCCGATCTGACGTTGTTGAGTCGTTATTGAGAACCTCGTTCTCTTGGTTTTACTTTCTCGCGCTTACCAACGTAAGAAGAGAAAGTATTGTAATTGGGCGCCGGAAAACGGCGAATTTTCGTCGGAAGAAAACAAAACAACAACACTTATTGCCGGGCCTTAGTGAAGAATAAGTGGATAAATCCAGTTGCTAAATATAGGGAGAAAATTCTATAACATGCGACGTAGCCACAATCCATGTTTTGTGCGTCCTTCATACCTAAAAATTGATTGACGGCAAAACGTCTGTCCGTGCGTCCGTCTGTGCACAAAGCTAGCGCTTAAACTGTTCAGCCGATTTTCTACAAAATTGATATTCTCCAGACGTTCTAGTATATGTATAGCATATGTATATTACATATATACTTATGTTTCTAAGGGCAGAGAAAGTTTGTGCTGTTTTAGCACCTTTGGTCTTGATTGAATTTTCAGTACGCGTTGCGTTTCAATATATATGTATATATACTAACACGACTGAGGAGAATCATTACACGTGACAGAAGTGCAACCTATTCGCATATTGTTACATATTTGAATGCTGAGCCATCAACAAGTGTCAGCGTGCGACGAGTGCGACAGCGTGTCAGCGTGCGTTCAACGAGACATTATCGATATGGGATTTCGGAAGAGAAGGCCTACTCGTGCACTCTTGATGACTGCACGGCACTACGTCGCCTCGCCAGGGCCGTCCACACCAATATTGGACTTTTGATGACTGTAAACACGTTACTTTGCCTGGGAAATATCGTTTCACATTTATTCGAGCGGATGGGCTGGTACGAGTATGACGACGTCATGAACGCGTGGACCTTGCATGTCAACAGGGAGACTTTTCAAACTGGTGGATGCTCTGTGATGGTATGGGGCGTGTGCAGTTGGAGTGATATAGGATCCCTTACACGTCTAGGTACGATTCTAACTGGTGACGTAAGCTTCCTGTCTTGATTACCGGCACCCATTCATGTCCAGTGTGTATGCCGACGGACATGGACAATTTGTGCAGGACAATGTGACTGCTCATGCGTCCAAAATTGCTACAAAGAAGATCCAGGGAACTTTTCTGAATTTAAACACTTCCACTAGCCCCCCAAAAGGAACATTAGTGAGCTCATATAGGATGCCTTAGAATGTGCTATTCAGACGAGATCTCCACCCCCTCGTACCCCTTACGAGGTTTTGGACAGCCCTGCGTTTTTTATGGTGTCAATTTCCATCACTACGTTAGGCATTAGCCGCGTTCGTACCACGTGGCGTTGCGGCTGCGCATTCGCGGGTCCTACGTGATATTAAGAAGGGGTACCATTTTTTGGACTAGTTTTAATCAACCTACTCTTAGATACGCAAATTATCTGAAAATACACACTAATAGAAAAATTAATATATTTGCTTAATGAGACTACGAGAATATTAAGACTACGTTAATTCATAATACCGTTACTTGTCAAAAAGAATATATGTCTGCTTCTTTGCGAAGAGGACTTGACGCAGGAACACAACAGGTGGTGCTGCTGGCAGCGGCGACGGATGAGGAAAAACTATTTACTCTCTGAGCACCGGCTCGGTGATATTGTACCAAATAGTTCCATGTCTGTTTCCTTCCGTGACAGACTTGAAGCATGAGCACTTGGTGGAGCTGCTGGCAGCGGGCGTCGGGTCTTCGACGTCGAGCTCGGCTGAGTCCACGCAGAGGTTCCTCAAGGCTGCCCTTTACGAGTCGGGAGACATCGCGGTCTTCGTCGACGGGGTGGACGAGATTTGCCCTTCATACAAGGACAAACTCCTCCGACTCTTGCAAATGTTGCTGGAGACAAAAGTGAAGTTGGTGTGGGTCTCGTCCCGCCCGGAGGTAAGGAAATGAGTGAAACTTTTCTAAACTTGCCTCATTCTTATCATTGATAAATTCTCCAAAAATAAAGTTTGATTGGAAGAAAGAAAATATTACATTCCTAAATAACATTCAAATAACACTCAGCAGAATTTTTCACCAGCTTGGATGAAAAAAAATTATTTTTATGAAGGATCAATACCAGCCTGTCAATATCAATTCCATTACTAAAGATACAGAACTGATTTTTTAAAAATTTTCACTAGAACACAGTTTTAATTTGAAAATATTTTTTTTAATCCGAAATTTTGTCAGATTTTTGTAAACTGTAAGGTCGTATGAGGTAAGAAAATGATTCCAACTTTTCTAAAATTGCCCATTTTCTATAATTTCTCCTAAGGCTAAAGATTTGACTAAAGATTGGATGAAAGGGTGAAAAGGTATGTCAATGATATATTTCTAAGAAACTTTAATTAAAATTTGGTAAGGAAGTAAGACCAATCTAAAACGTTTTAATTTAATTTTCATAACAGGCTGAGCTTGTTCTTACTAATGCGTTACGTTGCGCCACATCGTCGCTTCGTCCGTTCTCCGAAGAGGAGCAGAAGAACCACCT